CAGCGTCAGCACCACGGCCTCGGCCTCGGCCACGGGGAAGTGCTGCGCGGCCACGTGCTGGCCCAGCACCGGCAGGGTGTACAGGCCCAGCCCCACGGCCTGGGAGACCAGCAGGGGCGCCACGAGCGAGCTCAGCCCCACGCCCTGCGGGCACATGGGCACGTGGGCAGCGCGTGGCGCCGGGCTCGGGCAGCATCCCCGCCCCAGCAGCCCCCACAGCAGGGTGGCACCTTCACCTGCGCTGGGGGGAGGGGAGGGCTGGGTCCAGAGGTGCCCCCGGCCTCCTCAGGGCCCACTCCAGCCTCGTGCAGCTGCATCCACAGCTCCAGAGCGTGGCCCGGTCAAGGACGCTGACCAGTCACTGCGGAATAGCCCCAGTAGGGACCCCGGGCTCACCCCCACTTGCTGACCCCAGGGACAGAGATCCCGAGACCAGAGTGGAGGCCTGAGGCGGCCGCAGGGAGCGAGGGCAGAGGATATCTTGAGCCCGAGGACCAGCAGCAGGAAGCCGGCAGCTGGCATGTACAGCCCGATGGAGACGAAGCGGGAGAGGCCAGGCAGCAGGTAGAGGAAGAAGGACTGGTGCAGCCGCTCCAGGAGGTGGTTGAGCTTGCGGAACATGCCCTCCAGGGCCCTGCGGGCGTGGGGGTCACTGCCGGCCAGCCCAGGCCCTGCCCCACCCTCGCCCGGCCCACCGGTGCGGAAGGGACCCAGCGGCGACATACTTGCCCACGGCCACCAGGTCGTACTTGTACTGGCGGAAGCTGTTGATGCCGCGCAGGGTCAGGGCCTCCACCCGGTACCGCAGGAAGAGGCCGTGCGGGCCGTGCGGGCGGCCAGACGCCTGCTGCAGGACCATGAGCAACAGCGTCTGCAGGCCCTGCAGCGGTCCGTCCGCCGACGTCCAGTCCTGGGGCTGCAGCTGAAAGGGTTTGGCACAGGGGTCAGGGATCCCCCCCTCCCCAGGCCCTGCGCACCCCCCGCCCCCCAGTCCCACCTTGCCCTGCAGCGTGCACAGCAGCCCCCCCTTTTGGCAGAAGGTCTGGAAGAGGTTGAGCAGGTCAAGGTTGGGCAGCTGCCCGTTGAGCCCCTCCACAGCCACGTCCAGGCTGGTGACCACGTCGCTGCTCAGCTCCAGGGCCACGGCGGCCTGGATGGCCCCCGCCCGGCCCTGCAGCGGGGACGACTGCACACCTGTAGGAGCGGGAGTGAGCCCGGCTGCGGGCCCGGGCGCCGGCAGCCGGGGACGGGCACCCACCGGTGACGTTGACGTCGTGGTAGGCTTCCAGCCAGGCCTCGGTGCCCAGAAGGTCGTGTTCGGTCACCAGGAAGATGATGTCTTTGGCCCAGTAAATCTGCCCTGCAGAGCAGAGGTCGGTCGGGGAGGCCCGGCAGGGCCCAGACACCCTCCCGCAGCCCGGCAGAGGCTCACCCCGAAAGTGGGCGGCGAGCGCCAGCAGCAGCCCCACAGCCTGGTTGTTGG